TTGGTGTTCAAAGTCGCAGGAGGCCTCTGCGAAACTTCCCAGGTGAAGTTCGTTGCAAAAAGATAGCTTCAACTTGCTAACTTGGAAACTGGCTTGCAACAGAGTGAACACCTGAAACTGGTAGACTTTAGGGGTTGAAACATGTGCCAAATTACAAATTTGTTTTTTGGAATCTGATGTGTTTCATCTTCTGATGGTGAATTCTTGCGGCTTGCCCAGGAAATGGCAGAATTGTTTCTGACGAGCAGCTTGTAGTGAAAGGTAGGTCCCGTTCCTCTGCCAGGAGTGCAATGGGCTGCCAGGTAGCAAAGGATTACCTGGGGATTATTCACAACCTGGTACATGATAAGTCAGCTTTGACATTCCAATCAAGTATATATAGACAGTATAGATTCAGATCTTGAACTACTTTATTTCATAGAATAAACTGTTCCTCTTGGCAATTTCCAAACTGAGTGGTTCCCCAAATATAGGGACGCTCATCAGTTTCAAAATCAGGTGTGTGGCTGTGGCAGAATTTGAAGTCATCATTGTATGCATCAATTTATTTTCAGATTCATTTTGACTCCACAAACGCTTTGGCCGACTTTAGCCATTTCGTCAACCTGGGGGCAACTGTCTCAAGCTGACCTTTTTCATTTCAGTCTCAAGTACCTGCTGACCTGTCAAATAATGATCTGCCCCATGTTGTGTTTAGTTGACCGCTTAAAAGTTTGATTTTTTGCTGCCCTTTTTCAACCTTAAATCCTTGTAATTGCCATTAAAATGTGTGGAATGTGTGAAGATGTATCAATCAAAATCAAAGCACAAGAGGAATATTTGCTGATACTTGGTGTATATATATAATATATATATATCTATCTGATGTTGCTTGTAGAGCTTATGATCATCCACAGCCTGTGATCGCATCTCCCCATGCGCTTTTCCGAAGAGTCCTACGTGCGCGAAGAGGTGGAAAATCTTCCTCAGTCGAAGTGGAATCGGTCGCAGCAACTTCCTCATTTTCATTGGATGAGTGGGATTGATATTAGGATTGTCTGAAAAAATAAAGCGGAAAACCTGTGAAAACCTCTACATTCACTGGTTAATCATCATGTTCCCCATTGGCATTACCATTGGGCCTAAATTGCCATGGTCACGCCCCAGCTTGCGATTATCCTGTTGGTCACTGCCAATCCACAGGACAACGTCTATGAGTCTATGAAGTTTTGCTGCCACCAGGAAGACACAACACACAGCTGTTCAAAAAGCCATCCAGCTACATGAAGTTTATGAAACTTCTGAAAATGCCATGCCGAAGATCAGAATCACCTGACTTCCAGTCGTTTTCTATGTATATGCATGTATATTAAGGTCTATTGATTCTATTATCTATTAGCATAGAAAAGAATTACTGTATATTTAATTAATGCATATTACAAGAACAAATCAAATCGATGCAGTACCTGCCCTATCAACACCATGTCCCTTGATTGACACGTCAATCCATAGAGATGTTGGGGAACTGCACACTGCACACCATGTTTTGCGCATTTTGCCATCCCGGTATTTTTGGAGTTACAGGCTGAACATCCAACACAATGGAGAAGGTTGCTTTAACATTGAAAATATTGAAAACTATGGATTCAATTGATTTCAGCAGTGTTGGGCTGGCTTGCCACCTAAAGTATATGAGATTTTCCACCCTGGAATCACGGATTTGGTGGGCTATGTTTTTTTCCCGCGACACTGGGCACGCCAGCCGTTGAATCAGCGGCTGTGGCGCTCGATTCTCTTCCTCCTCGACGTGGGAAACACAGCGCGCTAAGAACTGGAATCTATCTCCCATTGAGAATATAGATATGAATGAATAAAACAAATGTATGAAGGGATATATCACATAGAAATGTGTATATATTTCATATAATTACGTGTGCACATTTATAATACGTGTATCTCACCATGTATGTATGTATGTATGTATGTATGTACGTACGTACGTACGTACGTATGTATATACCAACATAGCCAAAATTGCAAGAATAGTTACTCCTCCCGAAAAAAGAAACAATTTTTCAGATTTCTCGCAATTCTCCGGGTTGATTGGGGGATTCTCGCAACAGCCAGGGATTCTCGCAACTCTTTTTCTTTCCCCTAATTTTGATCATCCCCCTGTACATGATGCCTCATAGAGGTCAAGTAGAGATCATATGTCCTTTGGACAGTAATCTTTGGAGATACTCGTCTAGAATACCTACTTATCACTCCAACAAAAGACTCGTCGACCTGACACCCGTCGACCAATGGTGATTCACGCCACTCATGATCCAGGCTCCACTGTTCTAAAAAGCGGTAGCCATGGAAAAGCATATGCAGCTTAGGATGTATTGGGTACCTAGGCTCACAAAGCTGGACAGAAACCTGAGCCAATCTCTTGTTGGCACGCACAGACAGCAAACCCCTGCGAGCAACTTCTGCCGCAATGGTGCAATGTAGCCAGGCTCCATTGCTGTAAAGCAACCTGAAAAGCTCATTGGTGTTCCGGGTGATCACTGCAATCAAGGGAACTCTGGCGTCAAGGTCGGCCAAATGGTTAACCACATCATCGGTCAGGAAGCTTTCCATCCATTCCTTAAGTTGTTCACACATTTTAAACATTCTTGGTGCACAAGCCAGCTTAAGTAACACATAAAGATTGTTTAAAACACATTTAAAGTCAAGAGACTCAATTGTGATCAAATTTATAGTTTCTCCCGTGGGTTTATGTTCAAGTTAAGTTATAATTATAAGTTAATTTAAAAAGCTTAGTGAGTTTAGCATGCTTGATTTATATAATACCCAAGTTTCCATGAGCAAGGTGGTCGTTGCACCTTTTTGCCATCCTCCTTCAGGCCAGTCCAAGGATGTTTTAAAACCCATAGTGTCACGCCCAATTTTGGTCAGGTAGGGGCGTTCCTCAATGCCAAACAAAGACAAAGGAAACAAATAAAAATGCAAAAGCAAAATCCAACCTATCAGTGCCCAAAAATACATAACACATATTATAAAAAAATAGAACTATACTTTTTAATGAGCATCTTTCCTGGACCTGCAATATTCCATCCATCGAGCTGTCATAGATTGGAACCTGGCATCCACACCACCACCTGGAAAAAGCATCTCAAACTTTTGCAAGACCACCAATGAGCTCGCTATAAAGTACTTTCCAGCACCTAAATGCCAGTTGTGGAAGATGTCCGGGCGAAATAGCCAACCAGGCATGCCTGTCTGACTTGGCAGCATCTCCACGAAAGGAGAGATAGAGTCCCAAGGAGCTTGTGCCTCAGAATTTCTGTAGCATGGTCGAACCTAAAGAGCCATGAGCCATTGCTGGAATATTTAAGCCAAGAAGCCGCTGCGCTGTACATGGTCGCTTCAAAGCTGGGAGATGATCCAAAATCTTCGAAAGGAAAATCGCGCACTCCTCCAAGACATAGATGGCACACTCCACCGTTCCTTAGATACTACACAAAACAGTGAAAAGAAGCAATCAACAGGGAAGCAACCCACAAATTCAGCTGTGGCTCGACTTGGGGCAAGTGATCTCCAATGTCGTGCTGCTCAAGCTGCACATTGGTCTCCTTGCGCCGTGAATTAATTAAAAATAGCTTTTGTTCTGGTTAGAGATAACGATTTAATCTATCACTCTATGAATATCACATGTTAAATATGTGATTGTATCTTAAAAATCAGGTTTATGAACAGTAATTATAGACAGAAGTTCATTCCAGGCATTAATGACAGATTTATATTACATTAAGCAAAGTGTCAAACATAAATCGGTGAAACATCAGCTTAAATTATGATTTAAACTGCATTCAATTTAAAACAGACACTGGGTTATCTCATAAGTCTGATAAATCGGAATTGGGTTCATAAAAAATTGAAGTGGGTTAAATTATTTTTGGAAACATTAACATAAGTGTCGCTCCTCAAGGAGTTTCTGGATATCGTCTGCCGAAAGGTCTGCCGTCTCACTCAAGAGGTGGCGTCGCTGCTGGACAACCATGGCATCAGGAGACATTGAAGCCATTGAATCAACGACTTGTGCAGCACCCCTAACAAGTTCTGAACACGACCAGGACCTGCTTTGAAAGCGAGACACCATATCTATCACTTTGGGCCAAAAACACCTTGGATAGGCCAAGTCAGTAAGCTTTGGCATCATATTTGCATATTTCTGCGTTTCTGGGGAAGAAAAACCACAAAAACACAAAAAATGTTCATGTGTTTTTTTCACGTTTATTACGAGATACATGCTCAAACTCCGCTATTTCTCGCAACTTTTTCTCGCAACGAATCCGCTATTTCTCGCAACTAGTCCGGGAAATTCTCGCAACGAGTCCGGGTACGTATTTTCTCCGCTTCGTAGTTGCATTTTCTCCGGCCCCTTGAGCAACTTTTTGAATTTCTCCGGGTACATTTTTGTGAGTTACATGATGCTTTTAGCAATCCTTAAAATTACCTTCAAATTGCTAAAAATCTTTCAACTCAGTAGGTTGTTGGGAAAACACGCTTCCACCGGTCTGGAACCCTAAGGTTGGTGGAGCCTCTCATATATATACAAGCTTCAAGTATATATGCCTCAGACCATTCCTCTGGGTTCCACTCCAAGGCTTCGAATTGAGCTGGAGCATCCCAACCACATGCATCTTGGGGTAGTACTGGTTGACCTTGTCCATGTTTCTGGAGTTGGGGTAGGAAGCGCAGAATGCGAAGACCAAATGAAATTGGATATGACTGTGTGCCCTTCAGCCATCGATTGCCTTGGAATTGGGTCTTGTTTCCCTTCTTGGTTTTGGTTGTAGTTTTGAGGACGCAAGCTGCACGTGCTTTCTTCGAGAGAACACCTCGGTCCAAAATGTGAATCTCTTGGCTGTTTGCCCAGGCCCGATGGCGTTTCCTGGCCAGGTGTTCATAAAACACACAAAAAATAGAAATAAATCGTGAAAAAGTACTGATACAATTGCATCCCGATTTCATCATACTACAGAAAATTTACTCGTTTTTGTGATAGCAAGCTGCGGGCTAAGGGCACCATAGTGCCTGGCCCACCATCCTACTCGCCAAGCACGAACTCGAAGCATAAATTCCTCCCACCGGGGGTACCATGGCAAACGCGAGCTCGAAGGCTGCTCCGTTGCCCAGGTTCCGCCAAGACATGTAACTAAATACTGTAGCAGCACTACTCTGGAAAGAAGACAATTTCCAACCTCAGAACTATAATTGATCAGCACAAAGCAAGCCCCGAAAATCCAAAAAAAACACAAATCTACTCGAAAAACTTTGATCAAAATCTAAATTGCTGGCCAAAATTCCTGAACATGAGGCAAAGCACAATTTCCCCATGGAGTAGCTGGTGTGCGTTTGCTCGTGCCAACATTGATTGCAGAAAAGGAAGTGCAAACCACAGCAAATAGTGCCAGGAATCCAGACGGGTTGGCGTTCAGGAGCACCCATATGCAAAGCCTCAATAGCAAAGGGTGGTCAGCATCAAGTCCCAAAGTTTTGTTTGCTTTTTGTACTTTGAAAATTTCAAAGTTCTTCAGTGTTTGACGAGGCTCGCTAGGCCTGCTGCTGTTGTCATGTCGAAGCTGTTCTGCTTGCCTTTTCGTACAGTCATCTTGCCATAGTTGATGTCCAGCTGGGCAGTGCTGTAATAAGCAAATTTCGCACTTCTCCCGACATGGCCATCTCCGGCAAAAAATTCACACAGACCAAACGCCTGCAGGGACAGCTTCCATAATTATACCATTAACTGCACATGGTTTTTTTTTCAGCATCCTGGCCTCAGGAACTGCTGGCATATTGCGAGCATAGTATACCATCACCGTCAGCCACACAAATGCCTGCAGGGATTTGAACAAAAAAATGCACAAAAGGTTAAATTCTGGAGGGGATTACCATTTAACGTATTGTAAAGAATTTTTTCAAGGTTTAAGCTAAAGCCCCAGCTCCTTTGGCACCCGAAGAAGCATCATCCTCAAACAGAGCATGTCGAGCTCCTCATCAGTCTTCACGGCCCAATGCGCCATGGCTGCAATAGGTGCAATATTAATTAAGTTAAATCTAAGTCGTCTTACTTTTATAATTATGAGTCCAATTATAGAATTTAGATTAATTAATTATAAACACAAACTAGCGTGGTTTGTGGGCCCAGTTTTTATGAAGTCCTTGAAGCCCAGACTCTGGATTACAAATTATACATGTTATTAATGACACAAATTAGTGTGGTTGATGGGCCCACTTTATATGAAGTCCATGAAGCCGAGACTCTAAATTACATGTCATTAATGACACAAATTAGTGTGGTTTGTGTGGCCTCAGTTTATATGAAGTCCCTAGAGCCGAGACTCTGAATTACAAATATGTTTTTAATGGAAATGCAGAGAGCAGTAGAGGTTACAATGAACATTGCATCAAAAACAACTTGCCGGCCGCACCATTCACATGCTGCCGGGTATGAGGTGGTTAAGGCCACCCCCATCAAGCAAAACAGCTACAGATAAAACATATATACTTTAAGCCCTACATCACATAATTCACAATCATCAAAATAAACTAAAATATGCATTCTTAAGTATCCAAACCTAATTCTCGCAACGATTTGTCAAATCGCAAGAATTTCTACAACTCCAAAAAAATATTACTTTTTTTTGGAATTCGTAATAATTTATATGTATTAGGCTTAGCTGGTATATATATATATATGTATATATATATATATTATATGCACATAAAAAAGGAACTCCATAAATGTAAGTAATATAAAGTAGGGATATTAGTCATTAGATTGGAACTTTGAACATCCGAGTTGATTGTTTGAAGTGGTTGGTCCACACCAGCAGGGTTCTGTGAGCTTATTTCTAGCATGAAACCACTATGAATCATTCCCACATCGCTGTCTGTCCACATCGCTGTTTGAGGGTCATCTGGTCATCTGGGTCTCACCCGATTGGAAGAGTTGCTGTCGGTTGGATCAGCTTTCATCCATTCGACTGCGATTTTTTGTCGCAGTGTGTGAGGTGATTTCATTCGACTGCAAAGGGTATCTATATACATCATCCAAATTCTGAATCTCCCTATCTCTATATAATTATATGATGCTTATGCTAAATGTAACATATGTATATACGTTGTATTCATTTTAAACAACAACACGGACTAGATATTCATACACAAAACACATCAACTGCATACATGAAACATAACGTATGCATCTTATTGCATATCAATATCAAGCATATAAATGATGTACTACACGTATATCCTACAATATCATACATACATTCAAAGAAAAAACAATAACAAAACATAGAAACAACCACCTAAGCATACATAATGAATAAATAATTAACAAATATAGATAGATAACATCAAAATACATCAAATAGGGCAAAGGTACTAGGCATTTAAAAAGCAATGATTTACCTTACAGCAAGCCATCTGCACCAGCCACCTGCAGGGCTTTGTTCTGCTGAGCGGTTTGCTCCTGCAACATGTGAAGCAACAGTCGAAAACTCGCCTTATCTGGTCATTTTTAATGGGATGTGATGGGATATGACCAAGAATAGGATGGACATTTCTACCATCATGGTACAATATTGTGTGGAATGGCTAGAGTTTTTATACACACCGCACCCAATGATGGATAGCAACATATTGGGTTGACGGGGGGGTTAGCCCCGCTTCCAATTGTTTTGGTTCGTCTGTCTGTCAAAGGCAAAGTGCATATCATCAAAAATTAGTGTTTCGCTGTGGCGAAATGGCAGTTTTCAAACATGCTTATGATGTGTCATTGACTCGAGTTCTGCTTAGCAGTGTCAACATAACTTTCATTTTTTCAAAAAAATGGATGTTGGGAGCAACCCTTACAGGGGTTTGTTGCCGCGATACATTTGCATTTTGAGCTCTTTTTTTCATTGATGTGTCAAAGGCAAAGTCACATGATCAAAAAGGAGTGTTTCGCCGTGGCGAAATGACAATTTTCAAACATGGTTATGTTGTGTCATTGACTTTTACAGGGGTTTGTTGCGGCGACACATTTGCATGTTGAGCCCTTTTTTCACTTGTCTTCCATCCACGAGACATCTTCAAAACATTTCACATGACTGACTTTGTCAGTCATGTGGGCAATGAATTGACCGAACGCCATCATAGTCGCTTCCAGGCCTAAGTTCTTGTGAATGTAAAGTGCTGACAAACCATCCACGTGTGCAGTTTTCAATGAGAGGCCTCCAAGCTTATTGTTTCGTCTCAGCTGCTGTTTCAGCAGAGCTGTGTGAGATTCTGCGACCTGGTCTCCTCCGACCATGGTTACTTTATGCCGGCCAGTTTGAGCTGCTTTGCAGCCAATGGCTTTCAAGGCTGTTGTGGAAACCTTTCTCTTTTTGAGGGACTGTACAGGTGTGTATTCTGACAAGCTATGTCTAGCAGTGACTGCTTCCAAGTTCAATTTTTTTCTAGTTCCCTTCAATCCTTTGGAGGCATCGGAGCCCAGGATGTGTTTGCTGGGGTTCACTTTGTGTTGCAAGAGCGGCACAACTTCGTCTAAAGTCTCTGGCGGGCCAGGAGCAGATGTAGCCGTGAAGCGGTCAGGCAAAGGATAGAAAGCGCTTTGTTTGTTTTTTCTGCTGACAGCCACTAGAAACCGACCACCATGCACTGCCACTTTGGAAGTTGGTTTCTTGGCAACCGTGTTCCCGGCTGGCTTCTTTGTCATTTTTCGTTTCTTTGACCCCACCTTGTTTTTTCTGGTTGCCGTACGACACGAATCTACCTCCAGGATTCCGGCGTCAAAGGTCATGGATTTGTTTTTCTGAAACTCAGCCCAACCTGTCACCATGCGAGCTTGCTTGTAAATGGAATCGACATAGTCATGGGATCGCCCAACAATGTGCGCAGCTGCATCTTGAGGAATCTTAGCACTGACACAATAAACCGTACGTACGAAGCCTTGCATGTCTGGTTCATGTCCACCTCTCAGTCGGTTGATGAAGGGTGTGTAGCCAAATTTCCAATTGATACCTACAGGCAAGAACGGCCACAACTGAAAAACGCACAAGTCGAAGACTAGGTGAACATGCGTATATCATTTGCAATGGATCCAAAAAAATGAAACCATACCAAGATGCGATGTCGCAGTGCTGGACAAGAACGGTTCGAACAACGCAGTAAGGCAGGATCTTGTTGAAGCTGGTTCAAGGATGCTTGACATCTCCAGCACTGACGTCCCCACTGCACCCCGAAGAAACCTTTGGCTTCCAGGTATTTTTTGCACCGCATTTCAGACCACAAGGCTAAGGATGCAAAGTCAATCTGCTTGAGACCTCGCAAAGCACGGTACTTTTTGAATTTCCCACGGATTCCGGGAGAATAGCTGAGACCCTTCTTGTGAAATTCTCTGTTGACACCAGAACTCGTAGCGATGGTGCGACTCGGAGGTCGTTTGCGCCCAGAGGGATATCTATCATGTCCGAGGGATTTTTTCATTGGACGTTCCCTGTGTGAAACTCGGACCTAAAAAAGCTTTGCAAAAAAGAAGTGACATGTGTGAAACTCCGACATCTGAGATGCGTACCTGCAGCGCAGGTAGCAGGCAGACATGACCGGTGAAATTTACATAAACAATTCATCCTGACAAGTATATATTATTCAGTAAATATATAATTATATAATAAAGTAAATATATCATACAGTTAACACAGACCCAACCCCCCCAACCCCAAATACGTTCTTCGCGTACCATCAACATCGAAAGCAAGTGCACACACACTGCCCCCAAGACCTTCTGAGCGTCTGAGCGTAGCAACCCCCCCAACCCCAGATGATCAGCGTAACATCATCAGCGTAACATGAACGTTAACATCCACATCCACCCACCCCTCCCCAACCCCAGATGATCAGCGTAACATCATCAGCGTAACATGAACGTTAACATCCCACCCCACCCCACCCCAACCCCAGATGATCAGCGTAACATCATCAGCGTAACATGAACGTTAACATCCCACCCCACCCCACCCCAACCCCAGATGATCAGCGTAACATCATCAGCGTAACATGAACGTTAACATCCCACCCCACCCCTCCCCAACCCCAGATGCAGCGTAACATCATCAGCGTAACATGAACGTTAACATCCCACCCCACCCCACCCACCCCCAGATGTCAGCGTAACATCATCAGCGTAACATGAACGTTAACAATCCCACCCCACCCCACCCCAACCCCAGATGTCAGCGTAACATCATCAGCGTAACATGAACGTTGACATCCCACCCCACCCCCCCCAACCCAAAAGCAACCCAGTAAAAACGGGGCTCAACCCCCCCCGTCCAGCCAACATATTGGTCAAATACACCATGTTTAAGTGGGTCCGCTGGTACCTTTTTTTTTTGCCAGGTCCCTATGATGTAAAAAAAACGGTTCTGAAAATCATCAAGAATTGTATGCACTTGACACTCCACTAGGATCAAAACCATGCGGAAACCAGAAATCATTCGGAAAGCGTCGTGACCTGCTTTCGTTTCTGAGCTTCCTCAGCTTCTTTTTTTTGACCTGGCAGAGCCAAGGAGACACAAGGCTGCCGTCGTCAACTGCAGTTGCAGTCTTCAAAAGCCATCAAAATCAGCCAAGAAACGGGCGAAGAAGGCCTCATCTTTCCTGGGGTCGTCGCCTCAGCACAGCCCGTTTACGCCGTATACCGGGTATTACTGGGTGAGCATTGGCCCAACTTTTTTTGTCATCTTCCGCTGACACCCCATGGGATGCATCACAGTCAATATGTCTCCCTTAGGCGACGAGCTCGCGAGTTGACTCTTGAGACTTTGAAGTCTTTGCACTTTCTCTGCGACCATCTGGCGGCCGCTACTCTGTTGCTGGTTTTGGGTCGGGAGGATTCAGAGTGCATGAGTGCATAATCCCTTCCAATATAACACTAAGCAAAGCCCAGAAACCATGGTTTAGTAGAGAATTTGTACATCTTTACCCATTTAGGGGGTGTTTAGTATTGGGGGATGGGGTTATGTGCCAATTCTGGTGGCAACAGTCATCGTTTTGAACCCTGAAAGCTACTCAAAACCCCAAAACACGTCCGACGTATTGGTCCATCGTGGTCAGAGTATGCTGTCTTCTTCGTACCATCGCGAAATTGAGTCAGTGAATGGATTAAAATGATTAAACAATGACTGCAGTTTGTCACACTGGCCAGCCGCTTCAAAAGAAAGATGGCTAGGTGGATTGCCACCAAGTCGGTGATTCAACACCTTGCCAATTGCCTGTACATAGCAAGTGATGCACACTGAGAACAAACACATATAATCTTCTCATCGATTGTGCAGAGGTGCAACTTGGCAACGTAACCCTATGGTTCCTGGCAAAATGAAACCAACTTGGATACGCAGAAAATCGATGTCTAAATATTTCCAAGGACATCCAAAGGAATCCGAGGACACTAACATCATCCTGGCACCCACAACATACAGGTCTCTCCTGGCTTGAAGGACCTATCATCTGACCATCCAAAAAATATCAGGTTCTTCTACAGGTTAAGGACCTTGGAAGCATCCAACAGAACATGGCAGGTTTTTCATGGTTTCTGTAACTTTTTTCCCAGGTGCCCGAAAAGTTGCGCCTTGTTGATCTCATTGGAACCTAAGCCTTGAGACTTCAACTCCGCCTGGCGCAGGTGTCTCTATGATATCTCTATGTACTTCTTGTGTAGGCACACAGTCTAAATCACAATATAAACAAATATATAAAACATTATAATCCCATGAAAATATCATATATAAACAAATATATATAAACAAACTATGTAAGACTCTCTGGTAATCAATCCTGGCAAGGTAAAACCTCAATAAATGGAGCTTTGCATGGGAAAATGATCCAGCAAAATGATACATTGTGTACTGTTATCTTTGATTTCCGGAGCAGTGGTACCCCCCATTAAGGTAATAATTTTTAAAATGGTGATTTTCCATAGCCATGTTAAACTACCAGAGGGATCCAGAGGGTATATGCTGGCCTATTACTGGCTATATAAAGTAACTCAACTATGGGATTGTTATGTTTGATTAATTACCATAAATGGTTGATTTACCAAAGGATACACATAAAATCACATTAGTTTCCATTATATCCCCACTTTAGATGCTTCAATCAGCATTCACATCCATTTAACATCCATTTATAGATGATTTTCATTGATTTTCCTATGAAATCCTCCGCTTAGATGTTCCGCCTTCAACTGCCTGATCTCAGCTGCCAGGGCATCCACCTGACCCGTGAAACATCGATGTGAGTTTGGTCCTGGTGGTCTATCGAATTTTCAAAAGCCACATGGCTGTGTCTGAAAGCGAGGTACTTGGTGGCTCATCCCACTTAGTAAGTGGGTTATAACCCCAGTTATAAGTGGATTAACCCTACTTATCCCATTTACAACTGGGGTTATAACCCACTTACTAAGTGGGATGAGCCACCAAGTAGAGCCCCAGAAATTACCAGTTTATGATGAAACGGTTTTTTTTGTCTTAAATAAGCACACCGAACTGTAAATGAGCAACAATGTGGGGATTACAATTGGCAAAAACACAAAAACACGCTATGACAGCTTGGTACAGAGACAGTCAGCTGTTCAGGGGATCATCATATCAGTTGCTACCAATTTTTTTTGGATGGGTTGACTCAACACCTCAATCGTTAATTCTCAAAAAATCGTGATAGGCTATTAGTCTTACTCAATTACGAAGATGATTGATATTGATTGATACATGTCCATCTGCTTTGATAGTTGATGCCAATAATAATAATATCAATATCCAATGCTGGCTTTCGCCATGTTTGCGTCAAATGATTCGCCGCTTTTTGATTTTTGTTGGGGGCTGCTGCATGAACTCATGCTTGAAACCACCAGCTGGATCGGTAATTCTTACTGTACTCATTCTCAATCATTGTTAAGTAACTATCAATCATCAATCATTGAAGATCATGATACAGTACTCAATCATTGAATGTTCATTGAGCAGAATCATCATCAGTCATCCTCATCAGTCATCGTCTAAAATCCATGGTAACCTCCTGCAATTCCTGGCCTCTTCATCCACGCTGTTGCCCGCCATGCGGCAGTTCGGTTCGACGCGGCAATTTCTTTTAGGCACTTCAGCAGTGTGATGATCCCCATAAGTTGTGAAATCTATGTAAGACTGGAACTGCACCCGCTGTATATAGCTGTCTGAAACAAATCTGAAATTCTGAGATGATTGACCTATCAACAAGTGTGGGTTTCCACTGATTAGATTACTTGAGGCGATGTAGCTGAAAAGATGCGAAACATGTCTGAGTGGTGGATCGTCATCGCTGATCCACGGCATAGTCTGTTGGGAGTCCAACCTATAGTGGATCTGCCACCTTTCCTCACCAACTTAGTGCGAGATGTAGAGTTTTTGCTGGACACAGAAAAATGGTAGATGAACCAACCAAAAATGGGGATCTTATATTCTGTGAGGATAGGATGGGTTATGATCATCTGTCCATGTCTATGTTCCAATATGTTCCAATTGCATCTTCTGTGAAGACCTTGTCATAGAGCCGCTGGGTCCCCGGGACCAAAGGCAGCACGGGATGGCCAGGTGTGAGGACCCATTCCGTGAAGAATTGCGGTGAAGGTGTTGACACCATTTAACATCCATAAAAAAGAGCGAACTACCCCCGGTATGTCTTTGGGTAAAGTTGGCTTATTGGAGCTTCTGAACCTACAGTTGCCACTCTATGGCTATCATCTTAACTCAGGGATGCTTTTAACTGGTGAGCTCTCATATCTCCACACTTGGAATCAAATTGGACTCATGCTATGATGGAAGCTATTGGTAAGGGCTACGGATAGCTTTCTTGATCACTTACGGAGGCATCATGCCTAGAACTGTATAATTGTAATTATAGTTGAACCCATTTGGCTTTCCATTGCCATTCCATGGCATTTGGTAGAGATTTCCGAGATCTTTGTTTGGTCCTTGGAGTCCTTTTGGATCCTTTTCCTCCAACGCCGATCTTTGCAGCGAGGACAATACCAGGGGCCCAGGACGCCGGCCTGTGGTCAGGGCTGAGCCACGGTGATGGTGATGCCCTCTATTTGAACATATTTGAACTATAGTACACCATCAATATGGAACATCAAGATAAATGGAATCCGATCATGGTCCAGTGATATCCATCAATATTTTTATATAACCATCATGGTGATACCATCATGAATCCAAACATCATGGGTACCTTGTATATTATCCATCAATATTAACCATCATGGTTAATATACAAGGTACCCATGATGTTTGGATTCCCATCATGGGATGGATGACCAATATGACCATGGACCCCATGGACCATGGCACAGTAAGATCGCGTAGGCATGGGATCCAATATTGTAGTGTCTAGACGTACAGTAAATGCAAAAAACACAATATATGAATGTATACCAGCATATCCACAGTAAGCCTAGATCTCACACTTGTGTAGATCGTCACTCAACTGCTTCCTGTTTGACAATAACTATACACCGAAAACTGGATCATGTGCTGCCATATAATGGGAAGTCAAGCCTTGGCCCGTCAACCCCTCATGCACAACCCTAATCACAGTAATCCGTAGCTTTGGGCCTACCACATGGGGCCAGAACGGGCCTCCCCAAATAAATTGCTCTATCATAAGTTTCCAATCAAAGTAACCACAAGGGGTTGGCCCCCCCATAAGCTGATCTGTAACCCCCATGAATACATATATGAATACTCTAGTTATAGTATGTAACATAGTTACTTCATTGCCATAAACCCTAGTCATTGGAGTTATGTTTACCAACTTAGTTATCCTTTGGGGGCCCCACCTTGCATATATTGGGAGTAATCCTCATTTTCAGGTACCAACTCCGCCTATGGACTTGGACCATGTCAAAGGCCTCGCGTGAAAGGTGTCGTTCGCCAGCCGAGACCATCAACATAAAATAGCGAGTTGCCTGCTGCATCTAGATGCATATCAACATAATATATATATAATTACACATAAGTATATATATATATATATGTATATATATAATTATATATCTAACTATATACCGTATATGTAATTATATCTATATATATATATATTGATATATTAATATTATTGTTAATATGTATATATATATATATATCATTTGTTTTTACATGTATTGAATACATAGTATTATTCTGCATATGAACATTATATATATATATATTACATTATATATTAACTAAACGATATTATATGTCAATATCAATGTATAAAGAACACTGTACTTGAATCAAGATATCAATCAATTCATGTTGACCTTTGGGTTATATTTTGGTGAACCCAAGAAATATCACCGAAAAACATCGAAAATGCCAGGTCGTTCTGAAGCCTCGCCTCACGATAGGCATCCTTCAACAGCTTCAAGTCCTGAGGGTTCAGCCTGGTGATTTTGCTGCCGATCCAAAAACGATTAAAAGATGGCCTGTGCAATGGATTTTACAAATGTTCTTCTTCGATTGGAGGGATTGGGAAGGATATCTATGTGATATAAATTGATATATATATATAATATAGGTTTTGATCCATAACCATCTCCAGCTTCTGTGGCAATTTTTGATGTTCAAATGCTCAATAAGAGTTTCGTTGGATGTTGCTCGCACATCCTCTCCTAGATTCTGTTCATTGCTATAATATGTTTGCTTGCCAAAACCAGCAACCATCTTCTTCCGCTGCAAATGAACAAACAACTGCCAACCACTTGTCCGCAATTGTCGCACAGGGGTTGGAGGGAATTATCGTAATTTGTTTGATCCGAAAACTACATGGTGGACTCGAAAACAAATCCGTATTTTAAATTTTGAGCCTTCAACATGGCGGTGTTTTTTTTCAGCAGTTGTATTTCTCGAACATCCTAAACCTAAACATGATCGAACCATGTCCAAGCATATTGGCCACTAACCCAATCTCGGGATGTTCAGTTTGATCCCCAGGTCTGCCTACTGCTACCACCCATCTGCTTGTAGCTCTTAACCCATGCAGGACCCTCCTCATTGTGCCGCACATAGGTGACCGGCTTCAACCTCACAGCATCCCCAAGGTCCCCAGAAGGGGGTCTGGAATCAGCGTTGGGACTGCGGCCAATGCGGATGTAACTATGAAGAACGCAAGAACAACCGGGGAACACTGACTGGTGCTTACTAGTTCATCTGCCACTTCAGACACTATCAAGTCACAAGGGGATGCAACTATCTCTTTCGTCGGCAACAAAGTCAGCAAAATCACTGAGTTTCCTTTGCAAAACGGGGTCAATGTTTAATCGTTTTCGTTCCGTTTCATGTCAAGTATTTACCAAATTGTATTTATTTCAGATATTTACCAAATTTCAGATATTGACCAAATATATATATTTCAGATATTTACCTATTGATTCAATTGATATTTACCAAATTGTGCTTATCTCATATCAAGTTGGTAAAAACAAATCTCATCTCCCATTCGATCCCCAAAAATCTCACACCACCCCATTGGATCCCTCGGCCCTCGGAGAAAATCGGAAGGGATGAAGCATGATGTGTGCCGAGTGATCCCAAATAATGCCATGATATCCCTGGTTTTTTTGAATGAGACTACTGGAATTCCACTATTGATACCCCATTCTTATATCATATGATATTCCAGCAAAAAATATCCAGCAAATTATTCCATGATTATCATGACATATTCCATAATATATCATAATATCATATTCCCATGGCTATTCCCATGATATCCCATGGGCCCCCCCATGGGCCGCCCGGCGGCCCCATGGGCGCCGCTTGCCTCACCCGCGCCGTGCAGCGCACGTGTGCACCGGATTCACCGGAGGCACCTGACCTAGCAGAAATGAAACATGTAGCCTCTGGTTATGTCAAAACCATAGGAAAACCATAGGAAAACCATAGGAAAATGGAGCTTTACCCTCTGGTAATTTAACAGTTTGCTATTGAAAATGACCATTAATAGTGGATTTTCCCATTAAAAATGGTGGATCTTTCAATAGCTATTTTGACATAACCAGAGGGTATAATGATGATCAATGTACGGTTATTTAAACATAGCCATGGAAAATGAGCCATTTAGTTTGTTGACTTACCTATTAACAATTTATATTCTATATAGTATCGAATACATTTAGATAGATCGATAGATCGATTCGTTTCGATTAGATTTACTTGTAGAATTGATAGATAGATTAAAACAAAAGAAATAAAATAGATGTATATAGATATATATAAGATAAATAATGATGTATAGATGGGTATGTTGATGGGTAGGCACGTAGGTAGGTGGATCTGTAGGTGGGTAAACTTATAGGTATAATCTTCAGTATATTTCAGTATGGGGTATGAGGTGTGAGGTATTCGGTATAGATGTACAGCACGTGGACATACGCAAATATTAGCTGTAAAGAAAGTCTATATACAGATCGGGTTGTATGAAATCCAAATATACATGGCCCTCGTTCTCATTACAGTATGTCATTGGCTGTGTAGGTATATTTCCATAGAGTGAATACATAGCGCCTCATCCTCACTCCCAATGTTTCTGTCTTCGATGTGGAGACGGGTGATCTTGCCCTGGACCACTACACAAACGAAGCACATGATAGATTACATCAGATTCCCCAACAAAAGCTTTGGGCCTCCAACACTCCAACACCTTTGACGTCAACAATTAACAATATGAACAGACATGGATGACTTGGGACCCTCTGTTTATCTCTGTTTCAAGAGACACAGTAAGAGAAAGTTTCCGGAAACACCAGGAAACACCAAGTAGTATGACCATTGTTGCTGCATCACCGTGCTGGTATCACTAGTCTGACTGTTGGTGCTTGATGTCCTGCAAGTTTGATCATCCTATCCCCCTAGCATTCAAGAACCAGTTATACACCATGATCTGGGACTGGATCTTTTCATATCGGGGTCCCCTTATTGATGATATATATATATAATATATATATACTAATAATAAAATATTGAGGGGGATAGGATCTTCATCTTCATCCATCACTTTTCCTATTCCCATCTTCGATTCGACCCAGCCTGCTGCATTTCAAGGAGCTGGTCGCATCAACAGCATTCTGGAGCAGCAACGCACCCGGCCTCGGATCGTAAGGAGATCCACAGAAATGGGAAGATTCAGCAACACCAATGGGGAATTGGACTTGGGATGTTTCACATCATCAAATATAATCTGTGGAATGACAGGTTCGGTAGCTGCAATAAAATTTGACTGTATATACGATGTAGATGCTGGACCTACTGATGACATGGGTACAGTACGGGTCAAACATTCAGACTTTATATGATTGCACTTGATCGTGATCATGAGCTTTCAATAACAACAAACTTGTAGAAGACGATGGTAGAGGAGCAAACAAATCAAATGTCAGATTTTTGGTAGATATATCCTGATTGATGAACGGAAGCTCTATCACTTGTTCCTTGCACCAAAAGAGAGAACTTGATCCAATATGTGATCGCCATTTTTTAGAGCTACGAAACCAAGCGCCTTACTCAGGCTCATAAACCATATCATCAGGCAGGTCTATTCCACAAAGTAGCAAGTGCCGAAAACAGTGGGTTGCACAGACGCACACACCACATCAAGGAGAGTCAATATCATGCGCGTGCCTGCTGGCACTTCTGGGATTCCCGCAATACATCCATACCTTTGCCTTTATGAAACCCTACTCACCATTAAATGTCCATCTCAATGGGATTCACCATCGCATCGTCGCTTGCTCTTATGCGGTGTTTGGACACTCCCTAATCTTCTTGTGACAGGTTGATCAATGACAGTTTTTGTCAGGCACCCAATATTGACAGCTGTTCAATCAAAGGTTCAATCATTGAATCATTGGGGTAAGATTCATCGTCCTTGGATGTCCTTGGATTTTTACAAATTGTGACCTTTTTTTTGGTTGTTGAGTATTGCCAGCATGTCGCAAACCCAATACCCAAGAAGTGGTTTCCGAAAGCATTGTCGGGCTTCAAGCTACAGCCATCAACAAGGTACCCCCTTCGAAAAAAAAACAGAAAGGGATGTGGTAAACCCAACCATCAAGAATCAAACATAACCCATTTGTTGTTCTTCCGAACCTTTCAACATCCCGGGGCACATCTTCACCCCAGCTGCCGAATAGCCTCAAGATTTGCTTGAGATCTTGCAAAAAGCTCTGCGACCTGAGATCCCAGCTGCAGATCAAACAAGACATACTACCTGGTTGGCGGTTTTTTTTGAAACCCCCAGTATTGTAGTAAATTTATATGTACAAATATGTACAATTGTTTACCATATGGTTTCTTAGGTTTCTTGGGGTACCCCCAGTTCTCATCCATGTCATGTTCAGATTGTAATTTTTTTCACATTTTTTACCATCCAAAAAAGGGGGATCCCCCATGGAACCCCCCATGGTGGGCCGATCCGGTGCCGACTCCGAGGCGCCGGGTGAAGGCCGGCACTGCAGAAGTATGTCCCTGGAAGATGTCCTCAGCTTGGATCAGCATGTTGCCACATGCCCCGGGCCCATGCACCAAAGAATAGATGGTCAAGATATGTTAAAGCCGTTAAGCCAAAAAACATAGGGATGTAAAACTTTGTATATATATATAATATGCATATGTATATATATATATATAATTGGGATATCAGTGGGATAGATATCGGAATAATGGAATGTCATGATGACCAATATTCATAGATGTAAGATCCACCCAACTGTTAGTGCTCGCCTTATCCATCAAACATGTTTCAAGATTTCGGGAATAGCAAAGCCGAAGGCAATTCAACATAGCAAACCAATATCCATATAAATCCATTGGATTTTTATGGCACCAAATGAAAAAATATGAGAACATCACCAAATGATGATGCTGATGATGACCAGATCTATTTATCAATATTTCATAGAACCGATGCTGCCCCTGTGCCGGTCGTTTTGATACCAAGACAAGGATCAATTGCGCAAGCATCGAAGCGTTGAGAGTCAGGACTGAGCCTCCAGCAGTGACAATCTCATCATATCTTACCTACATTGGCTATTCTTGCATCACTAAATATATCATAGTATATCCAGATATCATACAAGAAATACAGGAATGACTCTGACTAGTTGGGCGAATCCATGGAAGTGTGAACAAATAGGGTTCAAAGCTCCACACAAGATCCAATCCACAAGGTCCAATCAAATCCCTCTTTGGCTGTCTATCTCCTCAATCATTTGTTGGTTCAAACCACCAAGCCACATTTAATTGGACACAGTGGACAAACCAGTTATTTTCCCTAAACCTCTATCATTTCATGGTTCACAAAGATTAGACAGAGTCTTTCCATAGATCCTGCGGAGTATGGAATTCGTTTGAGATGATTCGACTAGAACTCTACTCAGATTTGGGGCTTGGGTTTCCGTACCCAATAGCTGGAGGGTTTACAATGGAAAATCCATCTATAAATGGATGAGAACTGGGGGTACCCCCATGACTTGTCGGAAACCTCTATTTGTTGCTTCCCCACTGGACTCATCCCATCAGAAAAGTTCTTGTCCCCGCATGCTGTGCCAAGGGGGGCTTGGTTTCAATGGAGAACATGATAAGCCATACCATTTCTGGCGCTGTTTCAATCGTTTCGAGACAACACGTCTGCAAGATTTGGGGTAACAACTCGGAACAACCATGCATATCATTTTGGGATCATAGTTCCGCAAGTAGTTATTTGTACGTATAATTGTAAAACTATATAAAACTATATAACTATAATATGATGTAAATTGATGTAATCATTCTGAAAATCCATGCCATCTTCCCATGCCAGCGCCTCTCTGCAAGACTTCGGACGAAGCTGGCAGCATCGCAGCTGTGAAGCTCGAGCGTCTCGGCCTGGATCTGGCGATTTCTTGGGTATCTCATAGTACAATCTATGGCAATTTTCACGGGACAAATATGGGGATGGGTCAAAACCCTGGTACCTTCTGTTCACCCCAAGTCATAGCTGGGTTAAAATGGATGTCCATTCCCCATTAAAAACGGTATTAATAGGTATTGACCCATACCCATATGGGGAAAAGGATGATAAACAGTGATAAACCATGACATTTGAAGATAGCCGATATATCATGATATATCTCTATCTTTAGAGGAACTCATTTCATGGCTAAAACTAACCCTGCTTTGCTGGTTCTCTTGGAATCAACGTGGCCAATACACATTGGATTTGGCCCAACAATAGCAATAATACATGAGACCTGGGTATAGCCAATTGCAATATACCGAGTGAACAGGCATACTGTGATCAGTTAGTGATTAATAACATTGAAGCGGCAATGCACGATGAAACTGAGTTTCGACAATGTTACTGTATCTACAATAGAGTTGCCAATGGACATGGTTTCTGTCTTCTGATGCCTTTACAATCCTTTACACTGGTGATGATACCATTGTATATAATGCATGCACTCTAAATGCCAAGCATGCCTTTGCTCTCTTCTGAGAGACAATGTGACAATGAGATGGATTCCTGTTTGGCATCCACAGTTTCTCAATTCTACAAGAAAGCTCCAGATAAGACGTGACGAGAAGTGAGTGTTGCTGTCGTTGGCCATCTGCTAAACCACAGATAAACCTACTGAGTTTGTGCAGTTGAACGAAAACAACATGGCATGTTTTTTCCTCTTCCCGAAAATCGCAAACCGATGCACCTCAGATTCTATGACATGAACCCAACGCAGATTCCCCCCAAACAAAACCTAGCCATATGGGTCTGTCTGAGGGGGTGCACCTTTATTTTACTCCAATGAATATGGCCATAAACCCCATATGCCATCAAATATCATCGCATCATGTAGGGAAAAATAGGGCAACATGAATTGATCCATGATTCACCGGAGCTACCATGGGCTACCGACAAAGCCAGGATCCATAGCTTCCAGGAAGCCATAGGATAACATCCGCTGTCAATCTTCCGCCAATCTCAAGTACAATACCAAACATGATCATTGAACAATTGACCATGGAAGATTGAAACAAATACAATGGACAAAAAATACCCAACACAAAAATGATATAGATTGATATAGTTTTATATTGAAGTACTCAAGTAGCCATCCAAGTTTTATGCCGGTTCCTGGTACTTACAACATTTTACAACTGCAGCTATCTAATCACCCCCGCTCTGAAATTTATATATGTTTGTTTAACTAATCTAATTCGTCATTGGTCCTTACATGCTTTGACCACATAAATCGCACTTCAGGGACTTGTCTACAAAGTTATTGTAGAACACCATCCTATGATTTTATCATCAATTTCTCCATTCCAATGGCCATAGATAGGAGGGGCATCCCTCATTTTGAGGCATGGCACGTCATCTTTCTGAAAATTTCTCCACCGGTTCACTTTCCGCATGGCCTGCAGGCCCATAAATTTTCTTGCCAGCGACAGAACCACTTCACTGCTCTCTACGGCAATCACCTGGTGACTGGGTGACCAGATGATGACCGCAACGATTATGTTGCTACTCACGCTCCATAAAGGAATCTTAAGCAACACCTATTTATTTATTACGCAAACAATGATATATACAACCTTCATGACTGTCAGCAAGCATGATACTAACTGTGATATCATCATGTATTATGAATTGCTGGAGATTTTGACCATCCAGATTCACAAATCATCAGTCCGAGAAAAAGAGGCACACAGTTCCAAGAAAGACATGTCCATCGACTGCGCGCTCTTTCTTTGCGAAGATTCAATTTAAACATCCCGAGCCAAAGCAAGAAATATCATTATATATCAACATGCCTTATCTCCATTCGGCTCGGACATGTCCTGAACCTTTATCAATATGGTAAAAAAAACTGTTATGCCATTTCCATGAATTTCATGGATATGTTGTGATCACAAATAAACAGTGATTAAGATATATCAACATACATATGGATTAAATTGATTGCATGTTTATCAAACGGGATTAAATTGTATGTTGATATATCAATATAAGATATATCAACATACAATTTAATCATAGATTGCTAGCTTCGATGTATCCAATGTATCCATCATCTCATGGACCCTTCCCGAGCCTTGCAGCCACTTTTCACCAGCGCTTGAGGCAACAAGCCTCCTCCAACGCCCAGGACCTTCAGCTACCCAGGTCTTGGAATAGAACATCAATGGGCCACTTTCCATAGCTGTGAAATCACTAGGGTAAGTGTTCCGGTTATGATGCTTTGGGTATTCGATGGGTCTATAACATGTTCATTCAGCACCGGGCATCACGGTGCAGTCAAGTTCTATTGTTTTGCATCAGTATTCCGTACTGGATGGAAACAACATGTGGAGAAAGCCCCAAATCAGCTGAGTCCAAGGATTTTCTTTAATGCTGCATCTCCAATTCGCGCAGTTTGGCATTTTTTTGTGCTCCAATTCCGCGTCACTTGAGGTGGCTCAGGGCCCATTGCTGGATCTCTTCACCTTGATCAATGTGACAGTGGTGTGGAGGAGATTCATCCAGGTACATCGTGAAATCTCCCAGGGCACTGCATCTGTTCATAGCATGGGCCAAGTTCTGCATGATTGGCCGTTGCCATCCACGGTGCTCCAGAAATGGTGTATTCACCGCTTGGAACCACAACTTCTGCAACGTTGCCGGGAAGCAGGTATCGCTTTGGACACTCTGCAGAGTACACCAATCAATGGCCAGATCCAGTTTCTGAAGGCTTGTCGGCAATTGACGCAACATGGCACAAAAACTTTCCTGGGGTTGCTGATTGTGTCGATCCTCTTTGATAAACCAATCATAACCACCCATTTTCAGGGCCGTTCCCACAACTTCGAAACAACAGCCACTATGTAGGAACAGCAGTTTGACCGTGGGGTTGGCTATTGGTTGTTTTTCTCCAGTTGCGAAGCAAATTCGCATCGACCAATAATATGACAGCAAAAGGCATGGCAAAAAAAACATTACCGAACCTTTTTTTGAGGCCATCAGAATTCAGCCCGATCATCCGTGGATAAATACAAGCCCCTACATCATCGCCACCAGTGGCGATGGGTCCATCCAGGTTGAAGCAGAATGAACCACCACAGTAGCACCCACAGCTTAAGTTTAAAGAGTTGCAAACACAATGACACCTGGTAACAGCTATAATCATCGATTATCAATGCTTTCATTAAATTACTGTTTTGGATTGTGGGACTTACTCGTTAATTATCAGACCATCTACCAGTACTAGAAGATTAAATGGGAGCAGGCGCTTCCTCTGTTCCAGGTGAAGTTTGCTTGGCAACAATGCTTCGCTATAGTCATCCCGCCCGTCACGGGCAAGCACCGTCCCTGAGAAGATGACCGGGCAATTGAGGGAACACATTGTCACATTGCAATCAAGTAAGGCCGTTTTCACTGATGCTGAGCGGCTCAAGAACACACTGCAAGCCGATAGCGATAGGGAACCGAAAGGCTCAGGATTCATGCTTCACCTGCACACGTTCTGTCGTCACACCAGCAAACTTCAACTGATGGCTTGTGAAATATGAAGTGCTGGAGAACATTGTTGCAGAACCTGTGGCGGTGTGCGCGCCGCAGGCCCTGATTTCGCCATCAGCGTTTTGAATTCCTATCTGAGCCCCCCTAAGAACACCTGAAGCCGTTGCCAGAGTTGCCGTCTTTCGCATGGGAATATTTTTCCAAATGTCTGCAGCCCAATGACTTCTGGGGCCCCTGCCTATCTCACTCAAGTCCAGCACATGGGAGCAGGTGCATCTTGAGTGAAAGGTTAAGATCTCCAGCGTCAAGGCGCAGCCGGTGAATTTCGGAATTTCGCATTGCGTCTTAAGGGGATAGCCGTGCGGTGTCTGGATTTGCCACTGCTGAGCTGACTTCAAGAGAAAGTTTGGAAACTTTCATCGCGCTCACACATCATGAGTCTAGCAGAGGTAGTTGTAGATCATTTGGCCATTGTGGAATTGGATTTCGGCTTCACCAACAAAGGCATTGGGGAACTGCAAGCGTAAGCTGCCGGGATGCAATGGAAGGGAAGAAGGCGGAGAATGCCGATGAGGTTGGACTGGAGACGGCACAAAAGATGAAGACCCAGCCAAGAACAGCACCCCCCCCAAAGCCGACTGGAAAGGGCATGGCGGAGGACTTACATACAACATTATATGCTGCAACGCGACGGAACGCGAATATAGCAGTTGGCCACTGTGGCACGCAGCCATTCTTCCCGGCTGTAGCCGTCAGCAGCACATGGCTTGAATTTTGATCTGCGACGTGGGTGCGAAAACAATAGCATTAATTGCTCGCACCAAGAGCTGATTTCCTTTGGGCTCAAGAAACACATGCATGCTCCATCACAGAGGACGCAAATCTTTTTCGGTGCTGCCGGCAAAATTGTGTCCAACTATGTGGCACTCTAAAATCTAAAGCCTTGGTTCGCTCAAAATTGTACTGCCTATCGTTTCTATATCTTCTGCTCTACGCGTTCTTTTGACAAGCCAAAAGGTAGAAACACTTTCTCTTCAAGCGGCTATGCCACCAAGTCCCGTATCGTCTCAACTGTATTGGTCCTTTTGATGAATTTGAATCATTCCAAGCACAGTGTCACAGCGACACCCTGCTTGGTGGATTCGGAATCCACAATCAGAAGAAACATTGTTGCCTCAGCTGCTTCTCTTGTATATGTGGCCAGTCCAAGCCATCTAAGCTTTCCAAGTGGGATTCGGCATTTTGAATCATCCCAAGCACGGTGTCACAGCGACACCCTCCTTGGTGGGATTCCCAATCCAGAATGCCCGGAACAGCTCTGGAAGGTGCCCGGATTAAGGTCTCTGATTGCCTAGGTCTAGAGGCGCTGGCGATGCAGCTGTTCTGTGTTGCCATGTGTTTGCATCCAGGGTGGCCTTTGAAGCGTCCATTCAAGTTCCGGCATGCATGCTTGTTCTTTCAAGCTCTGCGTAGCAAGCACGAAAAACAACAACACGCAAGTCCACAATTTCAATAGTCTCCACAAAGCCGTTTCAACAAGATGGAAGCCATATTGAGGAACCCTTCGGATATTAAAGAATCTGCCAAAAAAATATGCTTTCAGTTCTTTTCTCAATGAGCAGCCAACCCAAATGCATTAGATTGCAACAGTGAGAACATAAGCTCACACCATTCCATCTCCTGGGCCTTCAGCTTGTATAACTCCTTCCGTCACATGCGGTCTAGGGCGCGCGGCTTTTGCGCGCCTGGCGCCCCTTTGGGCGCCCAGCTTCTTTATGGGTTCAGTATACCGCCGGAAAATCATCCCAGTCTGTGTGTTCCTCCTGTTTGGGGTTGTATCCCAGCTTCTGTCAAACTGTTGCCTCCGTTGCTTAAAACCTACATAAAGGCGCGCGCTTTTCGCGCGCCTATTGTAGGCGCGCGCTTTCTGCGCGCCTGGGGCGCGCGCTCTTTGCGCGCCTATTGTAGGCGCGCGCTCTTTGCGCGCCTGGGGCGCGCGCTTCTTGCGCGCCTGGGGCGGGCGCTTTTTGCGCGCTTGGTGCGGCGAGTGCTTTTTCCAAGCCAGGCCTAGCCGTTGGGTATTTTTGTTGTGTTTTGCACTACCCTGCTCCCGTTTGGTTCATGGCCAAAACCGCTCTGCACTGCAATATCGTTGTCCACGCCAATGTCCTCGGGTGTGCTTCATTCCAGCACCCTAAGAGCCATCTGCTCCCTCCCCCATTCATCCTTCTTTCTGTACCCATCTCTTCCACCGAAATCTTATGAAAACGGCCCTCGTCCATCAAATTATTCGGATATATATATATTATATATATATATTTATACTATCTGTATGTGTAAGATGCGGCCAAGCAAAATCAAATATCTAGGACCACCTCTTCCACTCCGTTCCGCTCCCTCACATCCACATCCCTTCCAGACGATGGGCGGAAAAACGGACGTGCTGAAATGTAGTTAAGCGATTATGCCTTAGATATGTAGAATGCCCATTGACGCTGCACGTCGGGAATTGATAGATCCATCATAAACTTGCGGTCTGCGGCCGGATGCTGTTGGTCCCGTGGGGCCAAGAGCGGCAACAATAGCTCCAGAATGCTAGACCGAGGAAAGAGTAATGAGAACATCTGCCAACCATAATGGGATCGAAATCCGTGCGTAAATGGCTTTAATAATGGGAATACCATATTAATAAGATAGTCTTGCTGGCATCTACCAGGAATAACGGGATGACAAGCAGCCCGCTATGGTTGGCATATATGCCTAAGGCCTATCACGAAATTGTAGCCAACTTGCTGATATATCATATGAACAGTTCCTCGCATTGACGCGTTCCACTCATCATTCCAGGCAATCATTCATTCGAGGACCTCGAAATCCATGATGTCCGTTCTTGTTAGTAGGCGTTTCGCGTATATACCCAGTTGATATATACCCATACTTGATATCCCCGTTCATTAGCTCTACAATCCGTAATGGTGAAACAAAAACAAGGTTGATTTCCTACACAATGACAGCCCCAGTTTGGCTTTTGGGCACGCCCCTGATTTTGGGTGTGTTCTTTTTGATATCCCCGGAAAAATTGGGCATCAGATGGCATTTTCCAGGGGGTTTACTGGTTATCCCTGGTTTACGGTTTGCAACATTCCCATTCACATTCCATCCCAAAAATCATCGAACGCTGGCAGGTTTCAATAGGCCAATGGCAATCGAACCATTGGAGATGCAACAATGGAAGGCTTGGAGGATAGCAAATGGACAGAAAATCGATGCCATCGGCACCTGGGGAAACTGCCTCTTTTGCACAGCAAAAGGAGGGGCTGGGATTGGCAGCGGGGCCAATACCAAAGGAGGTTAAACAGCACTGGGCACTAGCTGATTGAGTGGTTAATTAACGTTAAGATGTGAAGATTCAATCAAGAATCCTATTAAAGCATCTGGGGTTCCAAGCTGCTTGCAACTGTGATCGTCACTGTATCAGGCATTTTTTCACTTGGGACCAGGGAACCCCCCGACAGCTTGGTACAGAACACCAAAGACAACAGCCATGTTTAATTCATCATGGATCTGTGATGATTTGTGCCTGAATGCCTCAAAGCAATATATGTTTATGTCTGGATGCCCAAAGTCATTTTGAGAACCATCCCCAGGCTCTAGGTGAAATATCTCAAGCCAAGACACTTAGGATATCGAACTTGCAACTTTGAAGCCCACTCGGCAACACGATGTGAGGAGTTGATTCGAATCTGCATTGGTTCACCACGAAATGAAGCGATCCCAAATCCTGTTGATTCTGGGTCAGCATATGGAAGAACTCCTGGAGGCGGACAGCATTCCGCGGATCTTTGGAACATTTTGGAACCGGAAAGCACGGGACATCCACCATAAAGGCGCCATGTTTAGTCATGGTAAAGTGAACATGGAGTCCTGTTCCTTGGAAAAGGCCATCCAACTTTGATTCCAACACGTTTCTGACACCAGCAGTTTCCTTCAAATAATTTGAACATGCAAAGGATTTGCAAGAATCTGACCGCTCTACTCACTCTTCTCTCTTCAGAAATAATCACCAATTACATGAATGAACAATACAATGAATACAGAAATGATACAATATGTTGGGGTCAACTTGACATCAGTGGCCATTTCCTGTGCATGCACTCAATCTTCCTGCCCCAAACCAACATCTCAGACCTCACCTCCAGGTAGAGTTTGGGCAAGTAGCATGCCAGAAACGTCATTCGCAAGACTTTGAGCCTTCCAGGTATGCTTCCGCAGATCTCAGCAAGGCTCAGAAGTCCATGTCCTGGGGGATGGATGTGGGCGTAGGTCTCGTTGGAGTTACTCGAAAAGCTGAGCTTCAACTTCTGCAGCTTTGAAAGGGAAGTGAACGTCTCAGCAAGGGCCTTGCTCCTGTCCAAACAAACTGCAAGAGCAGGGCGGGCGTTCGACATGTTCGACGTGTTGCTGAAACAGCTGCATTGATAACAGTGTAAGCATTAACAATATTTATCTATAATTCATAATATTGTAAGACATTGTAAGCATGCAACGGTTTTGATGCCTCCCATCTGTGTATGTACAGCTCAACTTTGTTTCTCTGGCAGGACTGCTGCCATGGCACAAAGCCAAATGATGGAGGCAGTGGACATTCAGGGAGATTTCCAAGTCAGCGACTTCCTCTGGAATCTGCTGGAGCAAATGTGCCACCGAATCGGTGGTTTCTTGGAAGTGGAGGCACAACTTGAGGCCTCCCGTGAGCCCGCTGCCCCGAGTTTCATGGGAATTGAGGTGGGACAAAACATGGTTAAAGCATCATGCTCTGTGATGTTCCCCGAACCACACCTGCAACCATATCGGTCCATTCCCATTCCCATCCTGATTTTTTTTTGGCCAAGAGGATTTCACTAGCATCCAGCCAACAGGACTCTTGAGGACGCTGGCTGGAAGATCAACAGCCAGCTTGCAGTTCTGATGGAGTTTGACCTATCCAACCGACAATACCTGTCCACCTATACATTTGTCTGTCAGTCTGTCAGTCTGTCAGTCTGTCTGTCTGTCTGTCTGTATGTCTTTCGATCTATCCACCTATCTATCTATCGATCTATCGATCTATGGATCTATCGATCTATCCATCTATCCATCTATCTACCTATCTATTTGTCCGCCAAAACTAATCTTTAGCCAATCTACCCTAGCTTAATTCATTCATTCACCTCCTATCTGTGTCTAGCTTTGTAATCGTTCGCTTCAAAGTTGTTAATGCAACAAATATGACACCCTTGCCACTTCTATCCAGAATCCACTCATGTAGTAACCTCATCACTATCCCATCCATCCCATCCATCCCAGGCGTTACATATGCCTCGGAGCGACATCTCCGAGATCTTCTTGGCCAACTGCTCCAGTGTGGCAGGGCCCAAGGGCCTGGACTGTTGGAAATCCAGGCGGAGTTCCTTGAGACCTGGGGCGCGTTGCGACACTGAAAATGGAGAAAAAAAAGGGGGACGGGGTTCTACAAGGTGGTGCCCCATAGTTAGCTAAGTTGGTGAACATAACTCCCATAACTATGGTTTATGGCAGATATAACGAACTAGTTAATGGGGGTTATAAACCAACTTATAAGTGGGGGGCACCATCCTGTATCGACACGCCAGCCATTTCCGGTAAATCAACTTATAGGAGTGTCTGGAATACGAGGTAGTTTAGCATATGAGATAGATGGGGAAATCACTGGTATGTTGTGAGTGTTGTGAAACTTGGAGAACCAGTTTTGTTATTTTTCGGGAAATGGTGGATGCCTTGGCCCTACCACCGACCAATTCTTCTTGAGTGCTTCTGAAACATGCATTTTTACGCGCATCAAATCTGCCTGGCGAATCTGAAATCTACGGACTCCAAAATCGATTCATAGCAAGCAATCACAGTATAAACATGTATACACTATTATACACTAATTATTATTGACTGACTGCAAGGCTTTGTGTTTGAAGTGCAGCGTCAAGATGAACCTGGCAACATATCCCTGGATCCCCAGCAAAGAAAAGATGGATGTTGATGGAAATCATCTAGGCATACGAGGGGTTAAAATGGGTATGTTCAAAATATACCAACATATGCCCATTTTTAAACGTCATCAACCTGTGGTTAGCTGTCAGTTGTCCCTCTGCAATCCGAGACACTGTCCGGCAAGTTCCGGAAAAGCTTCTTGAAGGACGGCAAATAGATGCCTGGTTGCTGCTCCCAAGCTGAATCCCAAGCATGTATAGTATATATAGGTGTCATGGAGAAATGCACAGATTAAAATTTAGAAAAACAACTTTTGTGGTGACATCGACAAGACGCCCTGTCCAAATTCCATCTCCAGCTTTTTCAAGGAAGGTCGGACCCAATCAACCACCAAACGCCAGCTGTTGGCAATAGAACGCTTGGACGCACGTTGAATCGCGCAAGTCCCATTACAAACACTGAGGTTGTGTAAATCAGCAGGGATGCGGCTGGAAAGTGCTTGGCACATGACATCAGGTGCACGGAAATGATTGAAGCAGATCTTGTCTTTCAGCAGACGTGTCCACATGTTGCTCTGATTGGTGTCTAGCAGCTCCCTGCAGTTCTTTGCCACAGGTAGTAAACGGAAAATCTGCAGGCCGAGATATTCCACCAGCCATTCAAAAATCCGCAAGATCTGAGATAGACACCAGCCATTCCTATCAATCGGACGTGAAGGCTCCACCGACTGCTTTCCTCGCAAGCGTCGTCCAACCATCCAGTCAGAGCCGCCAAAATTTGGATGAAATCAACTGGAATTCATGGCGCAACTAAGGCCGGTTGGGTGTATTTGGCATCTGGAGCCAATATGCAAGCCACAAACGAGTTGTGATTTCAGAATAGTTGGGAATCACAACTGCCAACATACCCACATTGATGGCCACAGAAACAAGATATGGGTTTCCAGCCAAAACCGAGCAACTGGTTGGTGTTGGATGAGACTCACCACCGCGTATTTATGACTGACACTAGTTTTACAATCGAACTTTGGTCATTGGCATTATTGGTCATTGGTGGGACCCCATTGCTAGTTGGAAACAATCATGACTGTAGCGGGTATTTAATATGATTCATGTACTCAACAATTACAAAAGGTTTCACATGTCATGGCCGACTCCGAATTGGCAAACGTCTTGGCTTGAATGAAGCAGCCAATGCTGATATCTCAAGTCTTCAACATTTAGGACCGGTATTAAAAAAAACAAAGATGAAAAGGGCCCCCCATTCAAACTCCAAATGTTGAAGGTCAACTACTGGGTTTCGCACCAAAACGCGGCATCCGGACGGCTCTCCGTACCCTGCGAACGCGGCCCTTGTGGCCATGTCCCTATGCCAAGAACGTTGGTTGGTGGATGGCACAAACAAAAGTGGTTTTAAGAGATCCTCAAATCTATCAGCCACCCAAAATGCACGGTCAAGTACCAAAAACAGTCCATATATAATCTGATTTGTTTCCAGATTTTGGCACACTGTGGACAAATTCAACACAGATCTATTCGATGCCGATGGATGTTTGGAGTGAAGCCACATTCGTCGGATTTTCACAATCATAGCATTGCAAATCAGAAAGGAAGTTTGTATCATATCAGACCTACACCAAGGATGTCATATACTTAAAGCCGCAAAGCAAGCACATCTACTGTAATTGTTGAAAACCATCGAACCCAGACTCGTAGATTGTGCATTGAGTTTCTTGCCGCAACATGTCACAGCTGGCAAAAGTGATTGCGACCATTGTGCAACCAAGGGCCTTAATTTAATTGGCTCGGTTTGAAACCATGAACTGCTGACAACGTTTATCCACATGCCTACTGGTTCGGAGGTGCCAATATTGGAATTTTAGTCCAATCACAATGATTGATCCTCCTAATTCCTAGAGGTTGGCTTGTTGGTTCTATACCCCTGGTTGGATGCCCCAATGACATATCGTCATTCTGCACATCACATTGTACACTCTGTAACGTGGGAAACCAAGAGCCATGAACCATCTCCAATTCTACCACAAATGAAGAGGTATGCAATAATCACGCCAAGTGGTGGTAGGTAGATACACCCAGCATCAAAAACTACTATCTAACTGAACCAATATACATAATGAGCATTACTATCTAAAGAGGTTCCTGATTTGGGATTGTCACTTTAGATAGTGAACCATTTTCCGACCATCAGTTTATCCTTCCCAACTATATAACTAGTTTCTGAATGTGAGGCAATGTTCAATGGGGAAGATGATGAAGAACCACTAGATCTTGTTTTTCCCCCAACATTTTTGGACCTCCCACGTCAGACCAAATCAATTTCAACAAATCCGAGTCTACCATTCAGTGTCAGGGTACCGCGCAGCTTCTTGAACATGAAGTTCAAGTATGGCGTTTGCCTGCAATTCCGCTGCCGTGGACACTCATGAAGGTATCCCGGTATCCATCATGGTCATTCCTGTGGATGATGCTTAGATATGCTTATACAATTTTTGGATGAGGGGAAGGGGTAGAACCCATCCAGAATGACAACAGGGAAAAATGCAAGCTCTACTTTCAGCCGAGCCTTCTTCTTATATACCTTCCCTTTGTTCGGTCATATCCATGTCTATCAGATTCTATCACTAATTCCTGCACTCCGAAAGTTGACCAAATGGAAACTCCAAAATGTCTAGGCAATATCATGCCATATCCAATCATGGAGAAATCAGTTCAAAAATCCATGGGAAGTCAAGTTCCAAAACGACAACTCTTGGGCCCACCTTGCCATGTCCACGCCTCAAGGAGTGTTCGAGGTGAAGTGTTCCATCCGCAATAACGACCTGGCGACATCACGGGGGTCACAACTGCAGAACATGGGAATGTTCGGAATGCACCGTGAAAAATGGTGGTATTTAACCATGAACAATGGTGGTTTAACCATGAAAAATGTGGTTTTAATCAAAAAAATCAACCAATGAATACCGGATGTGGGATGATGTGGGCATTGAAGATGGTATGTTGAGTCTACTTTCAGGAAGGTTATGGTAAAACCACCAGGGTTTTGATTTTTTGTGATTAATTAAGTACTGGAAGAATCCAAACATGCAAGGAAAACATCGAATAATCCGAGGCAAACATGCGCCTCGGTCTGCAGCAACCGCCCACCGCGTTCCTCCTGGAACCATAACTGACCTGGGAATGTTGGGGAGAGTACCACGTTTGGGATACACCACAACCATGCAGTGCTACGATTAGTGATCTATATTCTTATGTGATACCGGGTCATTGTGACGTCTGTTGGATTTCTTCAATTCCATATACTGTTCACCCTTCTTTTGGTTTGAAGTAATTTTTCCTGTCGCATTGTATGAATTTTCACACTATTTTTTGGGGGATACCAGTACCACCCATTAACGAATAAACCAGTGGCTATCAATCCAGGCCATGATGGTGGCGAATCAGGTGGCACCCCGTGACGTCCAAGTGACGTTTGTGGCCGATGCCGGAAACTCCTCAGAGATCGGAGCGGAGAACTCCGTGCTGGGCATCGTTCCAGAAATTGTGATAGTTGTACTGTAGTGAATTATACTTATAGAACTCTGGGAAAGATTATATTATGTTTGGTTTTAGTTCTACTTTCAGTTGCCGAAGGAAGTTTAGAAGTCAGCGTTGTGGCGCGAGGCACATTTCCAATAAACATGCACGAAACACTAACCACGACTAACTATCAAGCACAAGTGCAACTACAACTAACTACAACTAACTACAACTAACTACAACTAACTACAACTAACTACAACTAACTACAACTAACGACAACTAACGACAACTAACGACAACTAACGACAACTAACGACAACTAACGACAACTAACGACAACTAACGACAACTAACGACAACTAACGACAACTAACTACAACTACTACTACTACTACTACTACTACTACTCCTACTACTACTACTCCCCCTCCTCCTCCTCCTACTACTCCTCCTCCCCCTCCTCCTCCTCCTACTACTACTCCTACTCCTACTACTACTACTCCTACTACTACTCATTACTACTATTACTACTATTACTACTACTGCTACTACTACTACTACTGCTACTACTACTACTACCACCACACTAATGACACTACATTACAACTACAACTTACAACTACAAATCCACTACACTTCACTACACTACACTGCACTACAGTTACAACTACAACCGCAACTACAACTGGAACTACACTAAATTACACTACACTACGCTTTACTACACTACAACTAGAACTGCGCTACTTTACACCACACTAGACTACACTACACTGTGCCACGCTACTGTACACTACAATACACTACACTAATTACACCACACCACAACTACAACTGCAACTACAACTGCACTACACTAATTACACTACATTACAACTACAACTTTCAACTACAAATCCACAACACTACAACTACAACTACAACTGCAACTACAGCTACAACTACAACTGCGCTACACCACACTACATCCAGCAGCTGTGGGTGAGGTGACCACTGCAACCACCGCAACCACTCCAAAAAGCACAACTCCAACCACCGTTCGGTCATCAGTGGTTTCGCTCAGCCATCCATGCCTAACAACAATTCACTTCTGCTATAGTGTCCTATCTTTGAAACTTCCGCCACCGCCTCGTGCTGTACTACTGGTAGTTATAGATATAGTTGTAGTTATAGTTATAGTTTTAGTTATATATAGTTATAGGTATCGTTAGCATTGATTATAGTCATGCTGGTAGTTATACTTACAGTTACGTTACCATTGGCAACTAGCAAATGGTAAAACAGAACTCTTGAAAACTAAAACAGTTCGCTTTTTAACCAGCAAAGTTTGGGATTTGGCTAACCAAATTCATGGATATTCTCATATGCTCTAGGTCTATATGATGATAAATAAGAAACAACAGGCTGCACCACGTCAGACATGGGAAGTTTCACGGGATGTGTATTTTTTCAAAATATCATTTCATTTGACAAACACCTACATCTGTGTGTGTTCTCGTTTTTTTTCAACAAACACATCATACTTGGTCTGCTCCTTATGGTATCTTATGGTCCGGATCACAGAATTTGAGAAGGACATCAACATCAACATGCATTTCCCAAAGTAGACGACCATCCACTGTATCACACATTTCTTTAATCATCCCTCATATGTTTTTTCATAGAAATCTGTGGCCGTACTATGCGGTAGACAACTCCTTCACATCACCTCAGCCCTTGCATCGCCCAAAATCCATCGATGGAAGAGATCAGAACCCAGTTCCAGGCAACTGAGCCATGAAAAATACCACGTTTTCCCATCTCATTATACTGGCTGCAAAGTAAATTGATAACACTAATTTAGTATATCAGGATAACCCTTTATATTAACCATGAAATAACCGACCAACGGAGCGGTTTTGAATGGCTCAACACCTATCATGGCATCCCTCCATGGTGAGAGCCAAAGGGTCCCACCAGACCGTGCCCGTGCCGAGCCGACGCCAGCAACACGCGACTGGCGCTCTGCAATCTGACCATACTGGGACCATGGCAGGCATGGACAAAAGAAATTACAAACTACCCTCCGGGATCCCTCCGGTAATCAAACATTGCATATTTGGAAATTCCGAAATCCCTACAAATATCCAGGTTTATAGCTAGGAAATTCATTTATAAATGGGAGATTTTCCAGTGCTATGTTGGCACTGAACCATTCCTGCCCTTGCCCTGAAGAAATCAGAGTATGCCGCATTCAAACTGGATCGTTTTCCAACTCAGCAAACAGACTGAACGTATTAAAGGAGAACTGTTTCAAAGCAAACGTATGGTATATAGCTGATATCTGATAGCTGTATATAGCTGTATATCTGATAGCTGTATCTTTGCATATGGGAAATGATATATGCCAATTTGCACTTTGCTGATATCTGATAGCTGTATATAGCTGTCTTGTCTTGTCACATTGGCTGCAAACGTGGACTATGGGGCACCATGGGCTATGTCGTTGCGCAGGCTGCACTTCAATCAAGGTGTCTGCTTGGTTCACTGAATTCACTGAGGTGAAGTCAAAAATAAACACATTGAGTTTGCTCTGACGAACACTTCATTGTGATATGGTATGGCGCTGTATGCCGTGCCTCTGCTCAGTATGGGGGAAAAACAATGAAATACATAGGCAATACTCCTCCAAGCAGTCATCTGTTGCCAGCCAAAGTTTCGTTCGACAAGACAAGTGCAGCACGGCCCCCCTTACAGTCTTACAAGGAGCAATCTTTCATGCGATGATTTGATGCCAGGAGTGATGGAGAGAGAACCAAATCAAATGCTGATGACTGCTGATGTCAGAAAGTTCCATGTTCTGTTAGTGATTTAATTCACAGATGCGAAACTTAATCCAAGGCCCGCATGAGTGAGTTCCCCAAACAACATCAAACAACCAGGTAAAAGCGGTACAGGTTTCTTTTTTCTGCTTTGGAGGGCGCTTCCCTCATCGGTGGCAACTCAATTTGCCCTTGGCACGCTGTCGCTGATGGGGGTCAACCCTGGGTCAGTGTAGGTACTGCTGCCAAAAGTTCCCCCTGTTTTGCATCACAGGGAGACACCACTGACAATGACAACAAACACAATAATTGTATATAGTATATAAATAGCAGAAATATGCAGTCACCATGACCATCATCATCGTCATCATCATCAGAATCAGAGAAGGCACTGCAGAGTATCTAGAACCAACCAGAGCCAAGATTCTCCTTGTACAGCATCCGACTTGCTTTTCGCCTCATGCACCCACCCCGTATCTGCAAGGCTCCCACTCATGTCAACGATCAACCAGTTGTACATTCCGATTATAGCAAAACCCAGAAATAAAGAAATGAAACCCTACTTGGAGGATCATCCCGCTTAGGTGATTAATAACCATAGTTATAATATGGTATAATCCCTTGAATATAGATGGGCATCCCGCTTAGGTATGCTTAGGTGACTTACTAAATCTTACTAACCAGGGTTATTAACCACTTTCGATTCGTGGGAGGATCCTCCAAATATGCAAATCATGGCGGCCATGACTTTTGTATCTTATGGAGTATTGCGAAGTAAATCCGCCCGCACCGAAGGTGCTGGGGCGTGATCTTCCGGATGGCACTCGTAAAAGGTTACAGGTTTACCTGGGGGGGGGGGGGCATTTTTCGGCCAAAACCTCCTGTTTTTGATAGGTCGTGACGCTCGCCTTCAAAAAACACTGTAAAAAACAGTACGGAAGACACCTGTTCGTGAACGCGCCCGTCCAAAATCGGCAAGCGAAAAGTGAAAAAAACCTGTGTTTTTCAACTTTTTGACCTCAATTTTTTGGTTTGCAACATCTTTTTTTGCGGTTCCGCAGGTGGCCGGGCCCGGAGGCGGATTTTTGAGTTTTTGGACCCGTTTTCGGACTGATTTTCGTCGTTTTGTGATAGCAGAAACACTGGTTTTTACAGTGTTTTTCTGTTTTCTGCATGCTTGACGGCTAGCTTCAAAACTTCCAAAAACATTGTAAATTACGCTGTTTTATGTTACGGTGTGAATGAAAACATCGTAAATACCAGTGTTTTTTGACGTTGGTTAAAAAAACACTGTAAATTACAGTGTTTTTGGCCACCTGACCCTCAAAAACCATGGTATTTGCAGTGGTTTCTGCTTCTCACCGCGCAAAAACACTGTAAATAACAGCAATTTCGCCGTTTTTTCATGTTTTTCGTTATTTTTTGAACTGCGTTGGTCCGCTATACATGGCTATCAAATTCTTCGCGTTTTTTTTTCCGACAATCAGTACTTTCGGATGTTTTTGGTCTCAATGGCCGACATCATTGGCAGTTACGAGCGGCTGCCCAACGATGCGGTGCGGGCGGTTGCCGTCGCGAAGCGACGTGAATATCTTACACAAATTCCTATTACGCCCAACCCGAGTTGGTACCACAGCCTTACCACAGCCTGGGGAGCTGGCGGGGTATAAACCCTGCACTCCAAGTAGGGCTCGTACTTTTTGACGATTGCCTGCTCGCAAAGCTCAGCAGAGCAGAGGGATCATGATAAATGATGTAGCCGTGGGGATATGCAATCATCCGGAACTGTTTCGTCTTAATATACATCAATGTCAACATTCAAACAGAAGACATGGATACAAATCATATATAGTATAAAATATGATCATTTTAGTTCCAAACTATCAAACTTATAACTGTTATATCAGCCGCTCGCATTCGCCTTCATGATGTCATTGTCTTTGATGCCACGAAGGTTGTAAACATCCTCCACCTGCACATGACATCGAGATGTCCGATGAAATCATCGCCGCTTGGAACATGGTTCACATTTGGAGTTACCAAAAAAATCCATAAAGAAAGGGACGCAAACGGACATGTCACAATGGTCTCTGATTTCTTGTAGATCAACTAAATTGACAACACAACGACAACTGGGACAAACATAAGGGCATTGCATTGCCCAAGTTTTGAACGCATTCTGTGACCCGAAATTACGTCAGCACCTTGGTGTACGGCCCGTTGCCACTGATGATGGCAGCACCAGAAGGGTACAACCCCTTAAACCTGAGAAAACTGATGGCAAGCAAAATAAGGGACAAAACTGTGTGCAAGACTTGCCGGATTTTTTTTGTATTTTTTTTAAATGTTCTATTTGGATGTGAATACGAGCACTGCACATATTGTTTGCAATGTAATCTGTTTTGATCTGACGTCCAAACAATCCTGGCGCGCTGTAATTCATGCATGCATGTGCCGATGTCTGATGCACATATGTATCGACACATCTGAGCAGCGTTCAATATCTCAGTTTGGTTCTAGTTTTTTATAAAACATAGTTTATGTATGTTTATGTTGTTCTTGCTACGGGTTCCTTTCACGCATGGGATACTTCTTTTGAAACTAGACCCCACCTGGGAGGTTTTCCGCCAGCTGTGCCAGCCGTCCAAGCTTGGGTGCCCGGGTGCCCGAGCTGCTGGTACTCTGTGACACTAGCATTGTTGATGTCAACCTGGGGACAAACTCGCGACTGGTGCGATGAGGGTTAGTTGTCTACCTCTATCTATAATTATCGATCTAAATTCCCCACCTGCCAGGTGAGGGTTGTTAGATTTTATCAGAGCTGTTGTCCTCCTCCTTCTCCTCCTCCTCCGCCTCCTCCTCCAGTTTCTCCTCGACTATGTCTGCATCAACTTCCACCTCCACTTCCGCCTTGCCAACTCTTCGCCAAGCTCTTCGCCAACTTCCGAGCTCAGTGCGCACTGCTGGACCTCAACCTTGGACCTTCCCAGCTCAGTGCGCACTGCTGGACCTCAACCTGGGACCTTCCCAGCTCAACGCTGGACCTCAACCTGGGACCTTCCCAGCTCAGTGCGCACCGCTGGACCTCAACCTGGGACCTTCCCAGCTCAGTGCACACCGCTGGACCTCAACCTGGGACCTTCCCAGCTCAGTGCGCACCGCTGGACCTCAACCTGGGACCTTCCCAGCTCAGTGCGTGCCGCTGGACCTCAACCTGGGACCTTCCCAGCTCAGTGCACACCGCCGGACCTCAACCTGGGACCTTCCCAGCTCAGTGCGCACCGCTGGACCTCAACGGCCAAATAGAATGCCAGAAGATATGCCAGATAGAATGTCAGATAGAATGCCAGAAGATATGCCAAATAGAATGCCATAAGATATGCCAAATAGAGTGCCAGAAGATATGCCAGATAATATGCCAGAAGATATGCCAGATAGAATGCCAGAAGGTATGCCAGATAGAATGCCAGATAAAATGTCAGATAGAATGCCAGAAGATATGCCAGATAAAGTGCCAGAATGTTTGCCAGATAGAATGCCAGAAGATTTGCCAGATAATATGCCAGAAGATATGCCAGATAGAATGCCAGATGGAATGCCAGAAGATATGCCAGAACATATGCCAGAAGATATGCCAGGCAGAATGCCAGAAGATATGCCAGATAGAATGCCAGAAGATATGCCAGAACATCTGCCAGAAGATATGCCAGGTAGAATGCCAGAAGATTTGCCAGTAACAAAACGTATAAATATCATGGTGGGGATAACTCGAAGTAAAGTAATTTATCGATATTTATCTGTTTTGATTTATATTATGTGGCTATCCATACATCTACATACAAACATTCAGTCATCACAATCCATCCATAACTCCATAACTCTAATACTCTAATATTAATTAGTATTATATACTTGTCATGTCAGGAAACTATACACAAAAGTAAATCACATTCATGTTCACCCGGTTACACTCCCATGGCCTATCGCCGCCATCGCCATCGCCAGCGTGTCGGGTTCCCTCGGGTTCCCTCGGGTCCGGGTGCCCGCGCCATTTTCATCTCAGTCCTTTCCTCCGATCTCCCAATGGCCCGCGCCATGGCCGGCGGCAGCGCGCCCGCCGCGGCTACAAAGGCGGCCAAGAAGCGCCGCCGACCTACGGCATGGCGAGGTAGGGGCTAGGGGGGCTGCCAATGTCAAGATATGTCGAAGGGAAATTGATGAGAAAACCATAGGACATTAATTGAAATATGGGAACATTATAGAGAAGAAAAG